CTTCCTTCCTTCCTTCCTTCCTTCCTTCCTTCCTTCCTTCCTTCCTTCCTTCCTTCCTTCCTTCCCCCTCTCCCTCTCCCTCTTTTTTTTTTCTTTTTCTTTCTAGGTTTTGCTGAGTAACCGTGAAAAGGATGAAATAATTTCTTTGCGATCCACAGGACTTGTTATAAAAACCATTCCCTCAAATGAGTTTGAAGGTAAAAGTTATGGTGGGTTGAGATGAGAATATATGCAATTTTATTTAATGGTATGTTTTTTCCCCATTATCTCTGTATTTGCTTTATTGTTTAGAGGCATAATATGTCTCCAAGGAACGGGGCAGAAAGGAACAATCTTGATCATGGGAATAAACTATTTGCAAATTGTCATGGCCTGCTGGCTTGGAAGGGGATGATGGAAACTGGGAATGTTGTAAGAATGACGGAACCATCATGTTCATTAAAAAAAAAAAAATGGATACAGAGAATTGTGTTGGTTATGATACATAGGTGATATTATCCATTAATAAATAGGAGTCAATGAAATTCATGTAAAACAGGCAGGAAAAAAATATTTCTACAGAATGCGTCTACACGTTTTTATTTTAAAAAATCCAGTGTGTTTCTTCCTTACCAGCCCTGAATGTAAAACCTCACACCTATAAAAACTGTTCAAAGATACATTGTTTTCTCTTACTGTGCTTCTCTCCTGCATTTGTAATGAAATTTACGCAGTCACTTTCCTCATAGAATTATAGATAGTAAACTGGGCTACATAAACACATTTTACACTAAGCCTCAAGTCCCAAAAGCAAGCTGTTCCATAAAAAAAAACTTTTTTTAATGCTGCATCATTCTAGTTATTGGATGGTCTATAGGAAAAGGACAGTCCTCATTAGTTACTTCTTCATTTTTCAATTGCAGATCTAGTGTGCTTGACTGTAAATATTGATGAAGTCATAAAAACCTCCAACATCTCAGGACGATCATATTCTGTAAGTGTTACTGTGATTTTTCAGGAATAGGAGCCATGATGCTAATCAGTGCTTGGAGAAAAAGTTGGGGGAGAGACTTCTGGATTAGTTTGGCAAATCAGCAGGAATTTGCAGAACTGTATTTCAAATGCAAACTATTCCATTTTCTTGATATTGCTGAATTGCTCTTCATGCCTGCTTGCCATTGGAGATGTTGCTTGATAAAGAGTTTTCAGAACTTCAGTTGATTTAGTAACTTGTGCTCTTTCACTTAAATATTTTCTTCCTTTTTTCATCATTGCTAAAAAAGCTAGACTTTATCTTTAACTGGTTAGATATGTGTTTGTGTATATTAAATGTTTCATATTGATAAAATTATAAAGGCAAAAAAGCCCCCTGCTTCCTTCTCACAATGATTTATAGGGGATAATTTAGAGTATAAAAGACAGTTCTTCCAAAAAGTATTGAATGTATGGCTATTCAGGAGAAAAGTGAATGTTAAAGTAATGCAAACACTGTAAAAAAGAAAAATATGTTTTTTCCATTCACATTTATTCTTTAGTATTTGCAATGGTCCATATTCCAGTGTTCCTGATTTTAAAAAACCTTACTAGATTGTATGTTATAGTTCAGAGCATGTAACAAGCTGTTTTGCTGAAGCTGTGCTACAGTTGAATGATGAAAAGAGAAAATTAGCTAATGTATTTATTGAATATATATTATTGACTAGTATAAAGCAGCTAGTTTCATTAAACCTTTAACAAGGACTATTTCCAGTCAAACTTCAGAATACCTTGTGTTTTTTGCCACATAAAAAGTCTGTTTTCAGGGAATAATGACATGATGTAGAAATGGTTAACCACCTCCTCTCTAGTGCTAGAGCCCCAATCCATTAACGGTTCCCCTGGGCAAGACAAGTTTATTTTAAATGTAAGAAATTATAATCATACTTCTTCTGTGTTACATCAAGTTTTTTTCTGAAGGACAGCTTTTAAAAACTGTATTTCTTTTATGATTATCCAACATGACTCTACACTGTTTGCTATGGTGCCAACACACGACTTATACAGCTCAATTGAGGAAATGCTTAAAAAATGAAAATCCACCTCTATTTATTTGGATATAGTTTGGCCCACGTCCAGTTTTCCTAAGCAGAACATCTTTTTCTTTCAGTTAATGACGAACAGTATACGAATGCGCAGTATCAGTCTCAGAAGTACTGAACAAAGGTCTTTCACTGTGTTCCTTGACAAGGATTCCAGACGAGCCTATAAGAATGTTATCAGGTAGCCTTCTTTAATGAACAATATATTATTGATTCTTCTAGGTTAGTTTCTCTAGGACGGGAATGTACAACAAATCACCTAAAAAGCATTCCTATTCTGGACGCACTGTAAATAACACTTCAGGCTTTCATAGTAATTGAGATACTTAGGATTTTGCATATGTATGCTTAGCTGTTCTGAACAGACGTTCTAGGCTGTTGATCATCACTGAAATATGTCCATTACGAGTGCAGGTAGTCCTCACTTACAAATTGCCTCATTTAACAACTGTTTGAAGTTACGACAGTTGAAAAAATACCAGCTTTGCAACCAAGTCTCGCACTTACAACTGTTGCAGCATCCCACAGTCACAGGATCGTCATTTGAGTGCTTCGCAACTGGTGCGCATTTATGTCTGTTGCAATGTCTCAGTCATGTGATTGCTATTTGTGTGTTTCACAATAGGCTTCCAACAAGCAGAATTAATGGTGAATGTGGAAGTGAAGTCACAAGTTGCAGTCATGTGATGTCTTGCTTAACAACCACGGTGATTCGGTTAACACTGGAAGCGGAAGTGAAGTCATAAATCCAGTGCGGTCACGTGTTGTTTTGCTTAGCAACTGCAGCACTTGGTGACAAAGTTGCCGATCCCAATTTTGGTTGTAAGCAAGGACTACCTGTATGAATGGATATAAGATGTCTTAACATATCTTGCATAACTACAGGTCATTGTTAATTACTGCCTTCCTACACCAAATTCACTAGCAAAAATTGCTAACAATTGTAGCTAATTTATTCTAGCTAAGAGAGATCTCATTTTTTTCTCAACTGACTTTCATCTAATATAAATTATTGTTGTATGGTTAGAATATGTAGATTGCTAATTAAGAAGCGTGGTCCAATTTTTAAATGGTTTAGGCACTCATAAAAGCAAGGATATTTAAAACCAGAATTATACTTGTACCTAATACATCTTGAACTACAGTTTGTATATTTAATTAATTGAAACTGTATTGTCCGTGTGTGTGTGTGTGTTTTGCAGTATTCAAGTATTTCCCTGCCTAGAACCCAGCTACTGTTTGCAAAAGTCAAGAACAAAACAGACCAACTTGCAAGAGGAAGAAGATGATATAGGACTGGCCAAATACTTACCTAAGTCTTTACTCTTACCCATCAACACTTTTGCAGGCATTATTCGATAAAGAAGCTGGCCATCCTAACTCTTCAAATCTTTTGTTGGGTTTCATTGGGGGTTATTCCAGCGATCAGGAACCCAACAGGAAGGTCTCGAGATGAAAAGAAAAAAGTGTTGCCAGAAGAACAAGTCAGGTTTTTAGCAAGAGAAAAAAAAATCTCTATCCAATATAGGGAAATTTTGTAGTTCTGTAATAGCATCAGATAATGGAAAGCGGGCTCTGATGCAAGAGAAAACAAGGTGTGAAATCTTTAGGCTACCATACTGTATTTTCTTTGAATGAAGTAGTTTTTTCTTTTATCAGACTAAGAAAGAATAGCTTTCATTTAATCATTTGCATGGCAAATGTAATTAGATTCCTTACTCAGGGGTTTTAGTCAAAATCTCAGCTGAGGCAGGTGATGTCTTAAATTTATCACAGACAGACTTATTCTAAAAAACAATCACAGATAGATAAGCTTTGTCCCAAAATTAAGAATTTAGGTTTAATGAAGCAGGATGCAATTTTTCTTTCATTAGAAAATGAGTGGAATAATGTTATACAAATGTGTGCATGAATTCCTATCATGTAGCAGTAGTCAAAGAAACAGGAACATTTAAAAAGTTTGTAAATGTACAGTGACACCTGCATGGAAGTCCCCCATCCCTTAATAATATGTATTATATCTACTTTCCTGCATGGAGTTCATGAATATTTCCTAAAGACTAGACATTTCCTATTTTGTAAAGCAGCTTTCCTCAATGTTGCTCTCTATAGGTATGTCAGAATTACAACTCCCAGGATTCCCAGTAAGATAGCCAAGTACAGTCATGCATTATGTTCAATGTTATTTCCTGAACAGGGCAGAGTGATTGAAGTCTGCACTGCAGAATCAGTAAAGTGGATTAGAGTGAGGCCTTGATTTAATGAACCAATTGAGGCAGGGTGTGCCTATTATTCCCAAGTGTTCATTAAGTTAGACAATATGTCAGGTGTGGAAGTGCCTTTACACAATTACGTCACGTTATGTCATTTGGTTCACTTTATGTCATTTACATAATAACATTATACACAAATTATGCATCAATACAAGTAATACCATTTGCATAAAGTCATTAAACAACATAAATACAATGGGAATGTCATCCTTTGACCCATGCCTGTATTTTATGTAACTTTTGCTATATAAAGCATAGCAGAGAGATATATAAAAATGGGCAAAACAGAGTCTTAAATACTAATTTCTCACCTTTCATTGATTAATTCAAACTTTTCTATTCATATCACTATACTTTGGGTAGCTGACCAAAGTGACTAAGAGATAGATTAGAGAAAATGAACTTACATATAACCCAGCCCATAGTAACAGGTGGGACTATCAGTCTGCCTTCTTTTACGAGGTTAGAGTCTTTATAAGGCTGGCCGCCTCCTCTTAAAATCTTCTTGGAGGAGCCCATCCCATATATATGTACATAATGTTCACCACATGTCCAACTAGTCCCCTATTTCTGATTGACCCCCTTTGTTTGTCTATGAGCTATTCAGTACATTTCCAGGAACCTACTGTTTATTTCAGCATGCCTTGCATAGCATCTCTGCTTGTCTTGGCCATCTTGACCTGTTATTGTTCATCACTCTTTCTCACTACATCCTAAAATAGTGTCTTTGTGACCTTCTATCCAATTGTTTTCCAACTTTACTGACAACTTTCTCCGGCCCTGAAGTTACCTTAGCCTGTTTGTAACTCATTCATGGTTCACTTGGTTTGGATCTTCTATGCTGATTTTTCCAGCCTCATTTCGGTCTCTTTTTAAAATTCCATTTGTTCTCCACTCACACTCTAAAATGACTATGTATAAATAAATGTTTTTAATATAAAGATAAATATGCCCTTGAATCATCCCAGGTGACTCCAAGCAGCCTTCTTGGCAGTGTTACAAAATGGTTTGTCATTGCCTTCTTTAGGATCTTACATGCACCACCACACTTTTGCAGATTAGTCTACCCTGGAATTCCTCATCTAAATACTGACAGGGCCAGCTGTGCTTAGCTCCTAAGATCAACCAGTATCAGCTAACCGCTGCCATCTACTGAGGTATGCTTTTTTATCAAGGCCAGTTATAATATATACCTATCCATTATATAAATTGTCATAATATATAAAAAATCGCTCTATTTTGCCACACTGGCAATTTTGGGAGTTGTAATTTCATGAAATGCAGATAATCATACCTGAATAAGGCTGTTGAAGAGTGCTTTGACTGTGAAATCAGCAGTAGGTGACCATCCTGGGGCACAGGTATTATAGATGAAGGGACTTGTGACATTCCTGTATATGGACAGGACTACAGGATCAGAGTTGAATAGTGTTCGGGCATACACTCCTGCCTCCTCAGTATTCTTAAAATATTTTAATTGTTTTTCATTTTGCATACTGGGCCTTCAGGGCAGTTCAGGAAATAATACCAGCAATGAAATGAAATGACAGAAATAAAAATTATAGCCAAGTGTAACCCCGAACAACATGAGGGAGAAAATAATCTTTGTAAGGATGTTATGA